TGTTCCAGGCGTTCAGCTATTGGGGAGCGCTTGGAACAGGCTACCAGCTTTGACAAATGGATGAAGATTAAACAGAAAACCTACCCAAGTTGCAATATAGACGGGCGAAAGGATTCTAACGAGAGTTTTGTGGAAAAATTCAGAAAAAAATATGAACTTTATAATTAGGCAAAATTTATGCCTTCAACTATTTAGTGCTATGATTTTTAGAAACAAGCAAAAGCTCACGAATTTGAACCATAGGCAGATCCAAGAATTTTTCACAAGAGGATTCAAACTTGCTCAACGTTTTAGGTATGTCTTCAAAAACGCATAGACAAATTTCACGGCCAAAAAATTAATTTTCATGTACTTTTGACAAGCCTTAGTTTAAAACCTTTTAACAAAAAGCACCTGCCCAGTTGTTAACTTCTTATTTTGAGACGAAATTTTTCTTCACCTATAATTCTCAAGAGCTGAGTCGGAAAACGAACTTTTTAGTGCATCAAAATTGGAGAGAAAGAAAAAAATACGCCAGGTAAGGTTTTATTTCAGACTGGTATTTTCAGACTTATCTCCTTAGATTATATTGAAAAATGAAATAATAATAATAAGAAAAAAAATATGCCAAAAATTACATTTGGTTCAGAATTAGCAAGTCGCCTTTCTCCTGTTCAATTCATGACCATATGAAATATTACTCATGTTCTTGAAAAAACAAATTTCAATTCATATTTCCAAAGCTCATTCGTTCGTTCGTTCATTTTTTCGTTCTTTTATTCATTCGATTGGTAAAACGCCAGTCTGTATACAGCGGGAGGACGCAAGGTATCGAATCCTGTAGAGTACGTTCGTCAGTTGGCTGAGGAGGAGTTAACAAAATACTGTAGTATGGAAAGTTAGATATGAAGTTTTTTTTTCCATAAAAATTAAAACGAGTAAATACAGGAAATTTATTTTATCAAATCGTCTGGACTTTCGAAGTTTTACAGTTTACATCCGGAACTCGTTTCCACTTAGCGCTTTTGACAGGGAACCACGGCCGGGGCGGGTGGCTCAGGCGACTGGTGCCTAAGACATGACTGCAAGCTCTCTTTTCCCTCTTTTCTCTTTCGCTCCCGGAGTATCCTCCCACGTAGACGTGTGGGGCAGGAACGCGTGACGAACCCCTAAGAACCTCTGCGTGGAGGGCTACTTTTAGAAACCCCCCAAAAGCTTGCTATCTATGAAACCACTTGAGCCTGAAAAACAAGATGAGCCATGACACAACCAACCTCTACATTAAACGTCTCAATTTACGTTTCAATAAAAAAAAAAACCTCCTGCCATGCAGAGAACGGCAAGCGGCATGCAAATTATTTTCTAATTAGACTAGTAATAGTTGACACTACAGCTGCCCCCGCTCTATATATTGTCGGTCAATAGCATTCTTGCTCGTTGTGTAGCTCTTTCAAATATACCGATTCATAAGGAAGATTTTCACATATATTCCATACAATAGGTGAGATAAATACAGGAAACGCAAGGTTCCATGCACAGTTTCAGGTCGATTTACACAGCTTAAACGCTGTGGCTATATGGCCGGTAACCGGTCAAGGTGTTAAAAACACTAAATGACCGGTAGCCTGCGTGGCAGGTGCAAAAAGGGGAGGGAGATATGGGGTGCCATTACCGCCAAAATTCAGCTATCGTTACTTTCGTAAATGGTGCCTCCAATTTTGTTTATGGTGCCTTCGTTTTCATAAATGGTGCCTTCGTTTTTGTAAGTGGTGCCTTTAATTTGTAAATGGTGCTCCCATTTTTTTTATTATTTATTTTAATGGTGCCTCCTATTGTGTTAACATGGTGCCTATATCTTATAAGTATATGGCACCTCTGTTTTTGTTTATGGTGCCTCTGTTTTTGTTAAACTGGTGCCTATATCCTAGTATATGGTACCTCTATTTTTGTTTATGGTGCCTCTGTTTTCACATATGTTGCCTCTAAACTTGTTAATGGTGCCTCTTATTTTGTTAAAGTGGTGCCTTTATCTTTGTATATGGTGCCTCTGTTGTCTTAAAAAATGTTGCCGCTGTTTTCGTAAATGGTGCTTCAAATATTCAGCAGTCTGGGAACGACTCTCTGGTGACTTAACCGAGGAAAACTGGGGCTCAGTTTCAAAATGGCGGACTCCGCCTGTCACGTGGTACAAAATTCACGTTTACCGTAAACTTGCCTGCAAATCTCTCAGTTAAGAATACAACCACTTTGGATTTTAAGATTTCTTCCAAAATTGTTGCGCCTTCGTTTTGAACCAGGCGAAAGATTTTCCGAGGGGTTCGACATTCACAGTTTAACAACAGCATGATCTTAACTGGGGGAAATGTGATCGTTTTTGCAAAAAAAAAAACGAAACAAAAAAAACAAAAACAAAAAACGAAAGAAAGAAAAAAAGAACCGAATAATATTTTACAGAACTGCCGTTCTAAACGCACATCGTGAAAGAGTGTTTCCGGAAATTATCAGTAATTTTTATTTTTTCCTCGGCAGTAACTTTTCCATAGTTAACTAGCCAAAAAAGTGTCTGGCAGATACATTTCCATAGAATAAGGGGATCGATTGCTTTTGCCTGTGCTATAAAACTTTGCCGATAACTTGTCTGTCAGATTCTATAAAGGGATTTTGATTCTTTAAGTTTATTTTTAGTTAAAGTTTTTAGTTTAAGATTCTTAACGTTTGATGCCAGTATGTTTTGGTAACAAATTTTACCTTATATGTTTTTTGAGCGTTTTACTTAAAGTACTTTTACTTAAAGTACTTTAGTGTCTAATCATCAATCAAATCGTAAAGCAAATTCTTGTAGCCGTCGCCGAGCGCGCGAAAACCACTGATATAATTTCTGATTCGTTGATAATGTGACACAAGAACCAATCAGGATCGTAGGAATTCTAAACTACAGTTATCGGGAGAGAACTTCTGGAACACAACTCAATCTAACTCAATACTGCTTTAGACAGTCAATTATAGAGTGTATCACTCTGCTCAATAACTTCCGTGGCCTCAGGAGGTCCACATTCATGCGTGGTAATGCTTCAAGACAAAACCAAGCCTTTCATATTCAAACATCCACCTTTGATTTTGGAAGTCGGTGATGCAGGTTTCGTTTCTGACGACACACGGCCGTTGCCGATTGCCGATTGATCGAAGTTGTTTCGGTGAAACAGCGAACTGCTGGGTAGTTAACGAGTTTAAAATGGTTCTACAACGGTAAAGAAAAGCTACCTGGATCACTGCACAACCTTTAATGGCTTTAGCAAAACTGACCTTGTAAGCACCTTTAAAATTCGAAATAAAAGGAGCTACTCAACCATAGTAGCAGATCTCCTTACAAAACGATGTATAAAGGTACTTTTCAGATCATCATGAGATGACATTGAATTTTATCCTCAATGTTAGAATTAAATTGAAATTTATAGTTGACAGATGTATTATACCGTAGCGTTTTTCATGTACATATGATTTATAGATGAAAAGATTGGACTATATTTTTATAATAATTAATCATTATATATGTAAATGTGCTTGTGAATTTGTTTTTTAGCATTACAGACATCAAATTCAGGAACAAAAAAAAAATAAAAACCATTAACAAAGAAGTGTAATGTTTAATTCCCGTGAGCATCTCCTTAGTAAGGGTTATAGGAAGAGTCCTCCCCCAACCCCCCCCCCCCCCCCTTCCCCCCAAAAAAAATAAAAAAACAAACACATTTCATTGTCACATTTTTCCCTTGGGNACCTCCCTTAGGAAGATGGTCTTGATATTAAGTTATATTTTTCATAGGAATAAATGAGGGGATAAACACGTACAAAAATCTTTAATTGCTTCATTATAGCAAACACATTTTGAATTATAATGAGATACTATTCCTTTTTCAAACTGTTCGGATTTTCAAAATTTTATTAAGGGTGAGTACGTGGCACCGGAGAAGATTGAGAATGTTTACATGCGAAGCCCTCTTGTGGCCCAAGCGTTTGTACATGGTGACAGCCTTAAGGTAGGTGAATAATCCCTGGCGGTAAGTTACCAATTGAAAGTTATATACCGGGAAGCTTAGCCCCGAAGCCCAGCCCCTTTTCTCCTTTATATACCACTTTTGGCAGAAAAGGTACCCCTTTCGTACACCTTCAGGAGGCTATATATATATATATATGCTCAATTTGAATTTCGTCATTTCATTCCATATGTATATATATATATATATATGCGAAAGGAAATGGATTGCAATATGGAATGGAATATATGTATATGTAATGTATATATTTGTGATATTTCGTCGTGGATGGAGCGGAAAGAAATGGAACGCGAATCCTGCGGTGGATCTGTTGAAATTTCATCGCTGTTGTTGTTGTTGTTGTTGTTGTTATTGTTCTTCTTCTTCTTCCTCTTCTTCTTCTTCTTCTTCTTCTTCTTCTTCTTCTTCTTCTTCTTCTTCTTCTTCTTCTTCTTCTTCTTCTTCTTCTTCTTCTGCTTATGCTTCTGCTTCTGCTTCTGCTTCTTCTTCTGCTTCTGCTTCTGCTTCTGCTTCTGCTTCTGCTTCTTCTTCTGCTTCTGCTTCTGCTTCTGCTTCTGCCTCTGCCTCTGCCTCTGCCTCTGCCTCTGCCTCTGCCTCTGCCTCTGCCTCTGCCTCTGCCTCTGCCTCTGCCTCTGCTTCTGCTTCTGCTTCTTCTTGCCATCATCATCATCGTTATTATCATCATCGTTATTATCATCATCATCATCATCATCATCATTATCATCATTACTGTCACCATAACCTCACTCGTGTTATTCATAGAACGTTCGGGGTTCCCAAGTGATATTTTATAGTAGTTGTTTACATTATGCGATTCCTTTTCTTCTTATTCATCTTCTTCTTTTTCTTGTTCTTCTTCTTCTTGTCGTCATCATCATCAGTACTGTCACCATAACCTCACTCGTGTTATTTATAGAGCATTCGGTATTCTCTAAATCAAGGTATCCATCAAGATAGCTCCAAACTTAACTAGCCGGGGATCACGGACTTACCTTTGTATTTAAGCCTGTGGCCCTTGTAGATGTATTCCCCTTGCCCATGTCGCCGATCTTCTTTCCACATCCCCAGGTACTTATCGCCATTAGCATATATGTATACACCATAACCATTCCTCTGTCCCTCGGTCCAGTCTCCATCATACACTGACCCATTAGGGTACCAGAATGTTCCTTGACCATGTCTCTGATTGTTGACATATTGTCCTTCGTACCTAAGAAATAAACTAGAAAATTATACGTTTATCGCAACACCTCGCGAGGCTGTGATGGAGCGACGCACTATGAATAAACTGAAACTAGCCAATAGGTAAAATATGGTCTAAAAAAACAACAACAACAACAACGGCAAAGAAAACAAAAACAAAACGGCCAAAAAGAAAAGAAAGAACATTTCCTTCGGCGGGAAATTTTGATTTTTATCAAGCGATTATACAAAAGGTAAGAGCACTGCTTTACTTTGATAGAAATTTAAGGGTGAAGTCAACAAGAATTTTTGGACTTGAGAAAACACGTGCTGTAAAAACGTGCCCCCAGAGAGCTGTGTTTTCTGTAATATAATTGGTTAGTTATTTGGTTTGAAAGCGCGTTTGAATATAAAACAAACTTGCAGCAAAATCAAGCCAAATAACATGTCGGTGAACTATAGTACTGGACAGATCACTAGATGTAACCGCAAGGAGTTGTAATGGAAATTCAAGTTTTTTTACGTAATTTCAAACTGGTAAGAGTTGTTTATGATTTTTTATACATTCAGTAGAACCCCGGTAACTCGAACTCTGAAGGGAAACGAAAAGCAGTTCAAGTTAGCGAGGTTTCGAGTTATCGGGATCGATTGCAAAATTCAATTTCCCATGTTAAACTTGATAGATACTGATTTTTCAGCACTTCAGTGTATAGTGAAGAGCAAATTTTCAATAGGAGAAAAGCAGAGATTACACTGCATCTTTTGTGATCTAGTTTCATCCTTGCTTCAAATTATATATACACATATACTTTTCTCTGTTTCAGACCTGGCTAGTACTTTCGTTTGCTTTTAATAATCGCTATAGAAGAATTATCAAACTCAAAATATCCGCCATAATAGCCGTTTTGTTTGTATAGGTGACAGCATGATTCATTTTTGTAGTAATATTTGGCATAAATACCACGAGTGATATTTCAAAATTATTATATTTAATTTCACGAGCCAATGAGGGAGTGAGATTTGAGACAATTTTTAAATATCACGAGTGGTATTTATGCCAAATATCACGTACAAATCATGCCTTCATTTTTTCTTTTCTACTTCCCGCAAAAGATTTGTAATTTTCACATGTAAGTACTTCAAATTAAGCAGAAATACCACGGCTCAAAGCCAATCAAATTGCAAAAATTTCTCAAGCAGCAGTATAAAAAAGCAGTAAAAAAAGTTTATTACCTTGCCTGTTTACTGGCAAACACGTATTTCCCCTTGCCATGTCTCTTTCCATTTACATATTCGCCTTCATATTCATCGCCGTTTGGTAGCAAAGCGTAACCATACCCATGGCGTTCATATTTCTCGTTTCTATGTCCTTCATACGTACCAATGTACATGCGAATACCTGCTCCATCTTCACTATCTCTGTCTAAGCTTTCATAAGAAGTCATGTTGAGAGATGCTTTGAATTCTTTCGACTTTTGTTTTATTTCGTTATATCGTATTTTCTGTTCTTCTGAGAGGCACCGTATGCTTTAAGTTTTCCTTTTGTGGAAACGTTTTCGCACAATACAGTACAGGTTTCGTTACTTCATAGAGAGCCCTGCATTCTATTCACTAAGCGCGCGCAGAAGAATCAAAACCGTTATATCTATCTGCACCGTTATATCTGGCACTTTGTTGCTTTGAAAACAGGGGCGTGAAATAGGTTGTGGTGCTGAAAGGACAATCATCAACTGAATCGTTATATATCACAAAACACCCGGGTCTTCATAGATTTTTGTGACGCATGGTCCCTTGATACCATTGGCAAGAAGCAATAAGATGTCATGTGACCCCTAAGTAAAACCAGTGAGAGAGCGCGCGCTAGGGAAAAAATTCCAGCTCGACAAAGAAATCTGTTTGAAGATATACTGGGAAAAGTTTCTAGCAGTATTCTCAGTTAAGGGCTCGACACAGTTTCGAATCCCAGGGGATTCTTTTCCGGAAAATTGTCCCTTTTAGGAATTATTAAAAGCTAAGAGAAAACTGAGGAGTCTGGGGTAGACAATGCACTCTTTTCTGTGTTACATGAAGTACGTACCAAAATAACATGGCGGACAAGGACGTCGCAAGTCTTGTCAATCGAGTGGTAATGCCAGGCGATGTCATCGGCAATGTGGCAGATTTAGAAGCAACTATCGAAGGAAAAAGCAAAATCAAGTTTGGGCCTGGGTTGCGAGAGGAGAACGGCGTGATTTTAGCATACAAGGCAGGAGTTTTAAGACTTCGAAAACCGGCCACTTATTTGATTGACTGCAATCAAAGGAGGGTAAGACTCGTGTTGCACATGGCACATGATATAGATTTAGAAGGTAAGGGTAAGTAACTTTTTCTCTTGCTGTTTACTTAGTATGTCCCAGTGAAGGAAGAACGTGTCATTGGCATTGTTACCAACAGAGGCTCTGACAGCTACAAAGTTGATATTGGAGGAGCTATGCCTGCATCACTACCTAGTCTGTCATTTGAAGGAGCAACCAAGAAGAACAAACCTAACATTCAGGTAAAATCATTTTTAATGCTTCCATTTGAAATATTCAGGGTTGTCACTAGAATTTCAAGTTCCCAGATATATGCAATTAGTCGGTGGGGAACTGAACAGCAAGGGAGTTCTTTTGCTCTTCCTACAGACCTACCAACCCCTAAAAAGAGAAAATCTGGAGACACATGGAAAAAAAAATCAGGAGATTCTACAAAGAAGTAGTGAGATTCTATTTTTCCTGATCAAGATTAAACGAACACTCTTTTCCATTGGGGTATACATGAACTGTTTCATTTTAAATATAACCCTGTTTTAGTAGGGCCCCTGTTGTAACAAATTAGAGGCTGCTTTTGCTTTGATGACTTTAAGAGGCCAGAGGATAAGTCATCCCTTGGAAGAAACTTACAGTAAAGAGTTTTTTCTTTCGGGATAAGCCAACTTTATAGCTGAAATGTTAGACAAAGTCCCATCAAGGCTTAAAGAGCAGGGCTGTCAAAAGTAGCTGGCTGCTGGCGAAAATCGCCACCTACTTGGTTAGTTTCGGCAAGCTACTCTGCTTGGCATTTCTTCATGGATGGCATTTTTTATTAATAAACTATAACCGTTCACCAACAAGATTAAAAGGTAAAGAGCATAGCTTAATCTCTGGATTTTCAGTAATTTTTGAGAGAAAATAGCCTGGAGAGTGCAGAAAACAGCATATCAGACAATCTAAATGTAAAAATATTCCAGGGAAGCAAGCCCCCAGTCCCCCCGAGAGGCTTACACCTTTGGTGCACTAGCTGGTTACTTTGACCACTCAGACACATATCACTAGCGATATGTGTTTCTCAGGAAGGGGAACACACATCACTAGGGATATATGTTTCCCAGGTAGGGGAACACATTATCACTAGGAATATGTGTTTCCCAGGTAGGGGAACACATATCACTAGGGATATGTCTATCCTAGGTAGGGGAACACATATCATCAGGGTTATGTGTTTCCCAGGTGCGGGAACACATATCACTAGGGATACGTGTTTCAAAGGTGGGGGAACACATATGGCTACGGATATGTGTTTTCCAGGTAGGGGAACACATATCACTAGGGATATGTGTTTCCCAGGTGGAAGAACACATATCACTAGGGATATGTGTTTCCCAAGTGGAAGAACACATATCACTAGGGATATGTGTTTCCCAGTTGGGGAAACCAAAACACTAGGGATATGTGTTTCCCAGGTGGATAAACACATATCACTAGGGATATGTGTTTCCCAGGTAGGGGATCACAAATCACTAGGATATGTGTTTCCCAGGTAGGGGAACACATATCACTAGGAATAGGTGTTTCCTGGGTAGGGGAACACATATCACTAGGGATATGTGTTTCCCAGTTGGGGGAACACATATCACTAGGGATATGTGTTTCCTGGGTAGGGGAACACATATCACTAGGGATATGTGTTTCCAGGTGGGGGAACACATAACACTAGGGATATGTGTTTCCCAGGTGGGGGCACACAAATCACTAGGGATATGTGTTTCCCAGGTAGGGGAACAAATATCACTAGGGATATGTGTTTCCTAGGTAGGGGAACACATTTCTCTAGGGATATGTGTTTCCAAGGTGGGGGAACACATATCGCTAGGGATATGTGTTTTCCAGGTAGGGGAACACATATCACTAGGGATATGTGTTTCTGAGGTGCAAGAACACATATCACTAGGGATATGTGTTTCCCAGGTAGGGGATCACAAATCACTAGGGATATGTGTTTCCCAGGTAGGGGAACACATATCACTAGGAATAGGTGTTTCCTGGGTAGGGGAACACATATCACTAGGGATATGTGTTTCCCAGTTGGGGGAACACATATCACTAGGGATATGTGTTTCCTGGGTAGGGGAACACATATCACTAGGGATATGTGTTTCCAGGTGGGGGAACACATAACACTAGGGATATGTGTTTCCCAGGTGGGGGCACACAAATCACTAGGGATATGTGTTTCCCAGGTAGGGGAACAAATATCACTAGGGATATGTGTTTCCTAGGTAGGGGAACACATTTCTCTAGGGATATGTGTTTCCAAGGTGGGGGAACACATATCGCTAGGGATATGTGTTTTCCAGGTAGGGGAACACATATCACTAGGGATATGTGTTTCTGAGGTGCAAGAACACATATCACTAGGGATATGTGTTTCCCAGGTAGGGGATCACAAATCACTAGGGATATGTGTTTCCCAGGTAGGGGAACACATATCACTAGGAATAGGTGTTTCCTGGGTAGGGGAACACATATCACTAGGGATATGTGTTTCCCAGTTGGGGGAACACATATCACTAGGGATATGTGTTTCCTGGGTAGGGGAACACATATCACTAGGGATATGTGTTTCCAGGTGGGGGAACACATAACACTAGGGATATGTGTTTCCCAGGTGGGGGCACACAAATCACTAGGGATATGTGTTTCCCAGGTAGGGGAACAAATATCACTAGGGATATGTGTTTCCTAGGTAGGGGAACACATTTCTCTAGGGATATGTGTTTCCAAGGTGGGGGAACACATATCGCTAGGGATATGTGTTTTCCAGGTAGGGGAACACATATCACTAGGGATATGTGTTTCTGAGGTGCAAGAACACATATCACTAGGGATATGTGTTTCCCAGGTAGGGGATCACAAATCACTAGGGATATGTGTTTCCCAGGTAGGGGAACACATATCACTAGGAATAGGTGTTTCCTGGGTAGGGGAACACATATCACTAGGGATATTTTTTTCCTAGGTGGGGGAAGACATATCACTAGGGTATGTGTTTCCTAGGTAGGGGAACACATATAACTAGGGATATGTGTTTCCTAGGTGAGGGAACACATATCATTAGGGATATGTGTTTCTTAGGTAGGGGAACACATATCACTAGGGATATCTGTTTCCCAGGTAGGGGAACACATATCTCTAGGGATATGTGTTTTTCTAGGTGGGGAACACATATCACGAAGAATATGTGCTTCCTAAGTGGGGGAACACATATCACTAGGGATGCATGTTTCCTAGGTAGGGGAACACATATAACTAGGGATATTTTTTTCCTAGGTGGGGGAAGACATATCACTAGGGTATGTGTTTCCTAGGTAGGGGAACACATATAACTAGGGATATGTGTTTCCTAGGTGAGGGAAAACATATCACTAGGGATATGTGTTTCTTAGGTAGGGGAACACATGTCACTAGGGATATCTGTTTCCCAGGTAGGGGAACACATATCGCTAGGGATATGTGTTTTTCTAGGTGGGGAACACATATCACGAAGAATATGTGCTTCCTAAGTGGGGGAACACATATCACTAGGGATGCATGTTTCCTAGGTAGGGGAACACATATAACTAGGGATATGTGTTTCCTAGGTGAGGGAACACATATCACTAGGGATATGTGTTTCTTAGGTAGGGGAACACATATCACTAGGGATATGTGTTTCCCAGGTAGGGGAACACATATCACTAGGGATATGTGTTTTTCTAGGTGGGGGAACACATATCACGAAGAATATGTGCTTCCTAAGTGGGGGAACACATATCACTAGGGATGCATGTTTCCTAGGTAGGGGAACACATATAACTAGGGATATGCGTTTCTCAGGTAGGGGAACAGATATCACTAGGGATATGTGTTTCTTCTACTTGGGAAACCCTTATCCCTAGTGATATGTGTTCCCCTACTATAATATACTATATTTTTTCTCACAAACACTTAAATTGTAAATTTTTTTTTGGTAAACATTTTAACTGATGTGACCTGTTATTTGAGCAGCTAATTGATTACCTTTGTTAATCGGCGTGATGAAGAATTGAGACCGTATGGTGATTTTGTTTTATTTAGTACTGATGATATTGGGTCAAGCATTTAACAGAATTGGAAAAAATCAGTATCTGATTGATCGGCATGGATGTCACCCAATGCCAATATTTGGACATGTTCCTTCTACGTTGGTAAAATTGTACTGGACGCCCCTGTATCTAAGATGCTAGGAATTAGTGAAAAATGAACAAAATTATTCAATTGATTTAGTTTCTTGGTTGATTAACCAGAGTTTGAGTCAAGTATTTTGTCTTGTTCAAAAGTCAAATCCAAAGTAAGGATAGACTAACGATTTAAAGAAAGAGCGTTTTGGATTTCTAGACGGCCTAGACATAAAATTACTTTTACTAAAATTATATTAGTTTTGTTGAGCTTGCTACAGTTATAAGAATAAACGCCTCCTGTCAGTTTCTGTTGAAAGCCTCTGCTTGGACCAGCTCCACGCATTTATCAGGTTATTTACTGTATATTTAACAATTATTCCTTGAGCCCGAATGGGCTCTGAGTCAATAGCCCCATTCGGCCTTCGGCCTCATGGGCTATTGACTAATAATTATTGTTTTAGTAAAATCCAACTAGCTGGTCAAAAATATCGAGAATAAAAAAAATTTAGCTAGTTAAAGCTAGACTTTAATCTTTTTTTGCCGCCAAAAAGCCCGCGCTGTTCACTACTAGTGGGCTATAACATATAGCCTAGTAGTAGCTCAACCAATCAGAACGCAGCATTGATAATAGACCACCAGTTGGATTTTCCTAAAAAGAAAAATAACCGTTTATCATCCCCATCACTTTGAATCCAGAGTACCCTGTTGACTTTGGGTGTTGGTAACAGTAAGTTCCGGACCTCATCTTCAGCTGACTCTCTTTCTTTGATACCTAATCACTGATTTATTGAATCGTCACTTTCAGGTTATGCAGATAAAGGTATCAGTGATAACAGTATGATTTAAAATTACCAAGTGATCTTCTTTCATTTTGCAGATAGGGGACATTGTTTATGCCCGATTAAGTGTTGCAAACAAAGACATGGAGCCGGAGTTGGACTGTACAGATGGCAGTGGAAAAAGCATGGGGCTAGGACCATTAAATGGTGGATTTATGATCACATGTTCCCTTGGCCTTTCAAGAAAGTAAGTACACTTCATAACTGCTTGGGAATTTTAAATAGCTCCTTCTAGGGGTATAGCCTGTGCCATAGACAGAACTAAACTTCAGGTACTGATAGCTCAAAAGTTGGATAACACTATCCACCGGGTCTCAGTTGTTTAAAAGCTGAATTTTTAGTGCTATCCACTGGATAAATCACTATCCAGTGGAATAGCATAATAATGATGCTAATTATTGATTTCTGTAGTACTTTTCCGCTGGATAGTGATTTATCCGGTGGATAGCATTATCCAGCTTTTGAACTACTGGGGCCAGATAAAAAATATTGCTATGCAGTGGATATATTAAGTAATTCAAAATCCAATGGTACTATCCACTGGATAGCATTTTATCTCATGGATAGGACTAGCTCACCTTTTCAACAACTTAGGCCTGGTTAAGTCAGTCTGCAAAACAGCACTGAAATCCTTTTTCCTGGCCCCTGACTTGTGTACCAGGATTTTAACGCACACCATGATTGGCCTGTTAAAAATGTCATTGTTGACTTGCCAGTCAGGTTGAAGGGAAATTCAAAGCACATTTCTGGTAATTGGTTGAGACTGTGTTGGGCTCACGCAGGCTACTAGGGGGTATGCTAAATTTCTCCTTGAACCATGGGCCCTTCTCCTGACAACACCCCTGCTTAATCCAAAAAGGTTATGAGAAGTGACAAAATGATCACTAGTGATAAAAAAAAAACTCTGATATTGACATTTGGTATTGATTTTCATTTGTCATATTCCCCTTTTCAGACTCCTCAGTAAAGAATTTGTTCTTTTAAAATGCCTTGGAAAGTACTTTCCATTTGAATGTACAGTGGGACAGAATGGAAGAGTATGGATTAATTCATCATCAACCTCTCACACCATTACAATTGCTAATGCGATTACAAACTCTGAATACATGACTAATGATCAAATACAGACAATGGTTAAACAACTTATGAGAGGTGTTCAGGCTTAGTCAGTATTCTAGGGAATACAGACTCTTAATCCTTGGTTCACTTCTTTGTTTTTTTTTTTGTATTTTAATGAATTTTTTGTTTTGTTATGTTTTACATTATTTTTTACATTCTGACTTATGAACACGGAAACACGTAAGGAAAAATACAAAAAACGGAAAGGAAAACTAAACATTATACAACGCAGACTAACACACAATTACATACTTACAAAAAAGAAAACAAACAAAACAAAAAACCCGGTACCTTCTTTTCTATTTACATGAAAAAAAGTAAAATAAAATAAATAAAAAATAAAGATTAATAATAAATGAAGTAAGCGGAGAAGAGATCGTATGCTAATCAGTTTTATATTTGCCCCATTTCATATTGTGGGTCTCCAACTTATTTTTTGACTTAGCGATCATTGTCTCTATTAAGAAGACAGTATTAATTTTGGAATGAACTCTTTGTTCCATCCTCATTATTAGGCTCGTTTAGCAACAGAATAGGAACATCAGTTGATGATGGTGCGCTCAAATCAAACAACTGGCTTGACTAATGGCAGAGCGACAAATTGGGCGCCGGAAGTCGAGTTTAGTCCTTTCCATGCGCTTTCTCGTCGTCAACTGACATTCCCGTCCTGTTGCTAAATCAGCCTACTAAAGATGGCTGGATGTTAACCAAGTCCTTTTTTTATATTTTTATGGACTATAATGAAGTTGAGGTCCAAAATGTAATAAAAAAAGATCAGCCAACTTGACCTAACCAAGGATTTATTATGGGGCCAAAATAAAATCTTTTCTTGTGGGACAAAGTGGGTGTAAAAATCGAATTGACGATAAAACTGAAGCACAACATGTACTGTATAGCTCACGCCTTATTTATATTACAAAATTGACATAGTCATGATCATGTCTGAAAATAATTAATGTCCTTTAATATCCTTTACATAATGTATTTAGATCACATGAAAATGCTAACTGGAGACATTTTCTTTATATTTTAAGAAAGAGTTACATAATACCTCTGTTACATGAACTAAAAAAAACTACACAATATTGCAAAAATGCTCAATTCCCTCACTTTTATTCCTAAAATTAATATTACATCCACTGTTGACCAAATCCTATGATGCTATGATGTGAATATTCAAATGAAAACCCTGCAACAGTGCCGTTGCATGGGAGCATTAATTTTGTTTTCTTCTAAACATTTTACATACACAAAATGAGACAGTGAAAAGTGAAAAGGTTCACAAATCAAATAATTATGCAATAACAATAATAATGAATTAAGTTGAATAATAAATAATAAATTTTTAATGTACAGCAAAACTAAAAAATTTTATGAAACGTAAAGTTATTAATATCCAAGCACTATGTCAAAAGTTGATCCGGAGATGAGTTAACAAATTTTTCCACTGTAATTTCTCCACTTAAAACCCTATTTCTGATAGCATCCCTGTGTTTCAAAGTGAAAACCAGTGACCGCATCTTTCTCTTATAGTTGTTGTTGATAAGCCTGCCAAACTTATGAAACACAGTCCTTTCGATAAGCTCTGGTAAATTTTCTGTAATCTGCAAATAAGGAAAAAACAAACAAACAAAACAGACTGAATAAGTTAAAAAAGATTTCTACCTGTACACACCACAACAAGTTTCTTTGCTGAGCAAGGTTGTATAGTGGCAAGAGCACAGGCCTCCCACTATTGGGGCCTACATTCTAATCCAACAGGCAACCTTACCACATGTCAGTTGAGTATATTTTTGAGTTGTTCTCCTTACTTTAGAGTGGTTTTCTCTGGACACTCCAGGTTTTCCCTGTCTTAAAAAACTAACAATTCCAATTTCCACTTTGTTCACTAATTGGTAGAGAAAGGACCACTAAATAGGATGTGCCATTCACCATACTGTAATAACTTTATATAAAAATATCTTATTTTTGTGAATGCATAAGCAAGTACACATACATGTAGCACAAGATTTTTGTTAAAGAGCAATAGTCCATCGCAATCCTAATGCAGGCTTCCTCTCCTTGTAAGTAGAGAGGGACAAGACCTGCTTTAAAGGCGAACTATGTATACTGATTCAACTCTATCGCTAAGCCATCTGCATAATTATGCAGCCCATAAAGTCAAGTCAAGTACTGTTTAAAAAACGAGCAGGAGTGTATTATCAGGTTTAAAAACTCGAGGCGAAGCAAAAATGAGTTGATCTATATTAGAGATTTTGAAGCCGTTCAAAAAACTCACAGTTGTGTATTATATGGTGTAAAAACTCTCGGCTTCGCCTCAGTTTCAGAATACAATAGCTCTAACTTCCTGGCAGTAAGATCACATTTACTGACTGTTCAAGTAATAATATAAGCCGAGAACATCATACCGTCATTTGAAGAGCATCAGCCAACAACTTTCTTGCTTTTCCTCTGACAACTTCAGTTTTCTTATCACAGTGAACCTCAATAATAGGCTTTTCTCTTTCTAATTCTTTGATAAACCCTCGCCATCTTCTAAAGACTAGCTTTGCTTGTTCTCTTATTTCCTCACTGCTTCCTTGACGCCGCAGTCGGTTCACAGTGTGGCCAATTTTCGTGGAGAGCAAAACATCTTTAGACAAGTTCTTCGTACCCAACTTTTTTAGTGCTGACAAAATTGCTTCAGGGGTGGAGACATCACTCTCTAGTTCGCATTTAAGACGATGTATTTCTTCCACCACAACAACACTCTAGAAAAACAAAAAATCACTTTATCTATCTAGACTTGTAAAACGTCAAATTCCTTGTATCTTGCATTACCCCCAGAAACGTCCCCTATAAGGCGTTTTAATATAGCCTAAAAAAATCCTAAAACATTCAGGCTACACAGCAAGATACTTTAGTAAGTGATAAGACTGCTTGCAGTTAGCCTTTTCTCTTAAAATCCGTCTAGTTCTTATCTCAGCCAGCGAGATTGCAAACCACGACGTTACGTTTCAATAAGGGATTGGGAAGATCTCGCGTGCTTGGGTTTCGCGTGCAGTAACTTTACAAAGAAAAATAAGAGACTGCTCGCAGTCTAGTAAGTGATCTAAAACTAATACAGTTTACCTTGGCTGTTAGTGAAAGTGTTAATTAATGGTGACTAGAACATTTTGAAAACTCACCGCAAGACTTTCGATTGTTGATTGCTTTTTATTGTCCACTTTCGCGGAGCTGGTACATTCTGGTCTGGGGCTACGTTTAGTTCTAATGACAAACTTGTCCATGGCGTTAGAAAATTGGCGCTTAACGCCTTAAAATGAGATAAAATTAAAGACAGTCGCTATACGATTTTGTCAGTATCCGTCGGCCATGTTGAAATACTCGAGAACGACAAAAAGGCCAGGCTACCATGGTCTTTAAAAAATGGCGGGAATGGCGCGCGCGAGCGAAGGACGTCAACCAAGGGCTTAACGTGCGAGCAGGCTCACTTGTGCGAGTTCGGAAAAAATTTTGTAGGGAGCGGCAGGCGGCTTATTTCAAAATCGCATTTTTGTCGCGGTCGTTTTCCTTTGGGTAACGGTCACACTGACCTTGAGGAGTCTGAGAACGAGAAAAGGAGAAAAAATGAAGAGTTGCATCACGGTCTTACGCCTGAAATTCATCCGATTGCTTCGAGTCGTTTTCTCCTCTCAACTGAGGGAGTAATAACGGCTCGAAGTAATCGGATGAACTGATTCAGGCTAGGTCTTACGGTCACTGCCCGTTTTCTCCCCATTCTCCCACTCGGGCTTTTGTCGTTCGAGTAAAAAAAAATTACCTCTTCAGTGAAGGCGAATTATTACCAATCATTCAAAAAAGGGGAGAAGTTGAAACTTGTACGTACGTAGATTACGGAGGACATAAAAAAGGTATTTCGCAAAGACACTAGGCCTTCTGAGGGAGAGAGAAATATAACGGTGCAATATGCAGTGGAACTCGGGCATAAGGACACAAAGGGGACATGCCGTGGTATCCGTAGTAAGCGGGTTCTCCGACAAAACGTCAGAGAAACCTGTTGTATTGATATAAAGACTAATGACGACAAAAAGAAGCAAGGGTAGGTACAATGACTGCAGCAAAAAGTCGAGGAGTGAAACTTTTAGGCAAAAAAAAAAAAATGAAATGGTTACAGTGCATGGATCAAACAGAGGAAGAAAGACGGAAACGAAACTGTCTGTTACATACGGGATGTCTGTAGAGCAGGGTTCCAGCGTTCCAACACGTTATCTTGCAACAGATCTCACTGTAGGGACATCCGGGAATACTATCTTACATTACAATGAATATAACCGAATGTTGAATGCTTAAAACTATCACGTATTTTATCTTTAATTTCTGAATTGATTAGTCAGTGAAGGTTACCTTGGCGCTCGCACACAATAACATACAGACCAAACCAAATTTGGACAGTTATATTTTAATAAATTCACTCACACTTAGGTCTATCTTTCCTGAACAACGTAACAAATAGCTCTGAACTGCATGTTAAAACGTCAATCACCGGGAATCAGTCTCTCGTGTAGAAAACTTCCCTAAAATTAATACTCGCGTAGGAACGGGCAACTAGCATTTCGAGTGTCGCTTTACAAAATGCCACGACTAACGACTAAGCTTTCAGAGGCATATCTGAAGGGGAGTTCACGAGAAAGTCACGTGACTCGTAAATAATATGCAGCAAAGAAGCACAGGTATGCGATGATTTTTTTCTGTTCGCATCCTCGAACAGGAACGACTGCTGGCCATAATTGCAGCGGATTCGCGTGCACGATATGTACGGGAAGAAGTTGTCAATCGCCAGAGATGAAGGTTTACTGGTGGGGAATTCGTATAACTGTCTTGTAGGCACTCCATCNATAAATTCACTCACACTTAGGTCTATCTTTCCTGAACAACGTAACAAATAGCTCTGAACTGCATGTTAAAACGTCAATCACCGGGAATCAGTCTCTCGTGTAGAAAACTTCCCTAAAATTAATACTCGCGTAGGAACGGGCAACTAGCATTTCGAGTGTCGCTTTACAAAATGCCACGACTAACGACTAAGCTTTCAGAGGCATATCTGAAGGGGAGTTCACGAGAAAGTCACGTGACTCGTAAATAATATGCAGCAAAGAAGCACAGGTATGCGATGATTTTTTTCTGTTCGCATCCTCGAACAGGAACGACTGCTGGCCATAATTGCAGCGGATTCGCGTGCACGATATGTACGGGAAGAAGTTGTCAATCGCCAGAGATGAAGGTTTACTGGTGGGGAATTCGTATAACTGTCTTGTAGGCACTCCATCCAGTGTGAACATGACTTGTCCGGATGACATGACAACACCACAACCCACAACATCCGGGACCCTAAAGATCTCCTGCTCGTACGAGGTAGGACTGGACGAGTTGGGCAGAGTAAGATGTCCGTCATGTACGTCACAATAGAGTTTCTCTCTTGTTTCCACGTTGATCATGCCAATTTGTTTCACTCGACAAGGAGCGTGTTTCAGTTCAGCTTCAAAGTACAGGAAAGGAATTATTGGCTCTGGAATTAGAAACAGAACAAATTGCGGAGTTAACAGTTGTATGAAAATAGTAATTTTGTGGATATCGTGGATGTGTGATGTAAAAATTATTCGTTTGCATCCTTATTTCCTTTTCCACAAGTTTCATTAAACACGGGATAGAATGTTTCAATACGATAACAAAAACCTCAGAGATCGTCGATAAAACCCGCTAAGCGTCGTATTTTCAACTTCTTGTCGGTCTTTAATATGCGATAAAAGTCCTCGTGATAAATTAACCTTTCATGAAAACACAGCACTGGAGAGAATAAAACGCTTTCATGGACAATTTAAACTCCTACCTGCGTCGTCAATAAATGACTCTTCGCACGAAATTTCTCTCAGGGAATCCAGTCGCGACGCAGTAGCAAAGCGCTTACAAATGGAGTCCCTCAAAGAGCCAGCACCCAGATATGGGGTGCTTGTCACGTGCTTCTCCTCATATGGAGGCTTTTCTTCAAGCCCTGACTCGTCCCCACTCTGCTCGGCTTCATTCGGTGTCTGGTCATTCTTGCTTGAGGGAAAGAGCACCGAAGACGGCGATGCTCTCGTCGGAGAGCCGCGAGGGGTTGTGAAAATACTGGATGATGGCGTGACAAAGGTAAGGGAGTGGTTGTTAGGCTCGGGTGAAAGGATGAGCGATGAGTCGGAGACAGCGGAAGTGTGAGGCGCACCAGAAGTGTCATGGACATCGGACGAGTGATGGGTGTTGGAAAACACTTCTGATTGAGGCATGTCCACTTCTAAGGAAACTTTCAAAGATTTTTCCTCGTCAGCCAACGCGCCAGAATCCGTTCTTTCCCGAGGAAGCCTTGCTTCTCCTTTACCTGCAAGAAAAAGAGCAACGATTTTTGTATTGTTTTATACTTGGACCTCACTTTTCGTCGTCCTCGTTTCTTTGACGTATTTATATCTTGTAGCAAATACGCAAAGCTACTTATATCCTCGACTGAAAAGATGACGTAAGATTAACGTATCGCAAAATTGTAAGACAAAAAAGATTTAACAACAGTACCCTTAATTTCGCAGCCGTATTTGCCAATCAGAGGCGAGTTCGACAAGCAGCCTACCCGCAGCAAAGTGCAATCCATTCACACTTTATTTATGAAAAAATCTCTTCTCAGGCGATTGATAGTGTAACAGAGAAACAAAAAAATTGGTTGTTCAAAGTAACAGTTGGACCTGTTTGTACGGTAAATGACTAACTGTTGCGATAACTGAGTGGCGCAAAGTGGATCTTCAGTTGTGGCTCGCTTTGAAACTTTCTTGTCGTGAACCTGGGCTGTCTGTGCTGAAGGTACATCAAGGGCGAATACAAACCGTTACGTGTTTACCGCTGAAACAACAAGCTCTAATAGGTCTGCCTGTGTTTATTTTATGCAAATGACAAAAACACCGAACACATTACCACTCTTGGTAATCTTTGCTGCCTCTGTAGTTCCCAGATCCTCCTCATCATTCAGTTCTTCGTCTTCCTCTACTATGCTTTCGAAACTGCCGCTGACCGGTGTCCAACAAGATGAAAGACGGACTGGAATTTTCTTGACCAAATTGCTGACCACGTGACTGACAGCAATATAGCCCTCTGGCATTTCATACCTGTTTTAACACAAATTCACAGGAAGAAATAAACGTTTTTAAGCGCTGGTAGATCTAATCTAAAGGTCTTTAGCGCAATCTTTGCCGGGATCAATACCATTTTCTTTGTTTCCTGATTTGTCTCGTTTTCCTTTCTAGACCTTGCAGAGTTTTTCACTCGTCAACATTCACAATACAACACAATTCCCGTTAAATTTCACTTTATCTGTAACAATGTAACCCTTAACAACAGGATTGCTCAATTGGAGAAATATACTGGAGTGGACTGGACTAAGTGATACGTGGCTAACACTCTAAATTCAAACAGTTTCAATGTTAAGAATGTTCCAGTAGACTATCTTAGGCAATCAGAAGATAACGACAAAACAAACAAATGCTGGATTTCTCCGCCTTTTTCTACTTTCATTTCCTTATTTTCCAAATCAGGGCCAATACAGTCTATTTACCTAGGGCTGATTTGGACCCAAGGGATGAAACAAGTCCAAGCGTGGGTTGGAATAGGCTTTTGATGGGGCTGTTTTGGATTAAATTGTGCTCAAATGGCTCCAGGAGAGGTTGAATCAGACTTCAGCCTGCATGACTAAATTGGCTTTTAAGGGATGAAAAAGATCTTTTTAATATTTACATTGTGGGCAAAAAAAATCTACCTGAAAGGTCTGCCACCAAAATTAAAACTGCAGTTCTGATCCATGGCAACGGATGCCGCGGGGTACCAATTTACCGAGGGGTTTAGCCCCCTAAATGCCACCCCCATATCTACCCCGTTCAACCAGAAAGACACTTCTCCATTCCAGGAGAACAAGCAGCCCAGTACATCTCCATAAGACCATTCTTTTCCATAATCATTGTTCACTTGTTCGCTTGGGGGGCCGCTCCAGACCTTGCATCTTGCGCCGTCGAACGCACACGAGTTCTTATCGTCGCCGACACCAACACCTCTCTCTGGACCATAACGACACTCTTCAGTTTGCCAGCCTAAGTAAAGAGACGAAAGAATCGTTAACACAACAGTATTTGATGGTTTTAACTAAGGGAGGCAGCGTGGCCCAGTTGGATTGCAAAACAGTCTCTATTTTTGCGTATTCAAGTGCGCGCGAACAGTCAGACGTGTGAGGCAAGCGCGCTTCGCGCTTCGCTACGCTTAACCAATTTTGAGAAAAAAAAAACCCAACTGTTTTGCAGTCTATAGCCGAGTGGTCAGCGAGTTAGACTCGCAATCCGGCGGCACCAGGTTCGAGTCCTGCTTTGACCACTTGCTGGATTTGCTCTCGGTTGTTCTGAGTTCAAATCCTCGGCCACGCTTGTAAATAACCAACTGGTTGCCTCCTGCCAGATGGGGTTTTTAATCCTGTTATGTTGTGTTTGAATTATTTGTTTCTAAGTATTTGAGTGGAGTACCTGTAAACTAGTAGGATACACTAAGCGCACTTTCCACTATAAACAAACCATAATCTATTAGATAAGCCTTTCCGAATAAACCGGTTTGGTTAAGGTTCCCAATTGAATACCGTCTAACTGTTTTGGTTGATGCGCGGTTGCTACAACTAGTTATCGCTAATTCTACACTTCTTCCACGGGCACGTGAGCAGTTGAAGCGTAAACAATTGACGTTAACCAGGAATATTGATAACTTCTAACATGTCGGGGAACACCACAAGCAGGTGCTACCAAAGCAAAACACTTGTTGTCGAAGCTAAGTGCAGTATTATCGTACCTATCTGTAGTATGCCAGTAGACTTGAGAGTGACCTCGTAATACCATCCCGCGGGAAAAGGGGATATTGCACACATACCCCGCCCGATGCACAGGGTGGCATGCACGCTTTCAAATCTCCAGTTTGGATTGGAGGCTTCAAGGCGATCGGTGCTTAAAACCAGCGCAGGGGTCTTGGTGTGTTCGTCTAACTCCACTGCAATGTCTGATATGAGAAGGCAACAGTAATAAGTGGTGTGAGCTAAAGAGTGTCCGTTAACCCTTTAAACAGAGTGGTCATGAGAATTGAGTACATGATCAGGAAAGATGAGTCTAATTCATATTTCAAAAAATTCTCCCCACTACTTCTGTTGAAAAAGTATAGGGGCAGTAAATGAGAATCTAAATTTGATATTAGGGTTTAAACTGCGTCCACCGGTAACAGTTAAGGCCTAACATGCAAACCATGAGACAAAAAAATGGCTGCTAATTCAAATTACTTCCTGACTGGCTAAACTATTCACTGTACAATATTTTCAAAAAAATTAAAACTAAAACTCAAACCAATCTTGGCTTGCTCATGCGCGTTTTCCTGTCGTTTGCAACGCCTGCTTTTTTGTTTCGCGTCTTGACTACTTCATTTGCTTGTTTTTATTACTGCTGATGGCAAGTCACCTTGCAAGACTTGATTGACCATGCACGTTGCCACAAACGCGTAGAGGACTAATCTTTAAGCCGGCAGTTGACTGTATCTGTTATAAATCTATTCACTCAACACGTTTTATCATACAGACAACATTCGTATTTCTTTTCCTATACCTAGAGCAATCTCGTACGTACTGTTCTTTCATTCGATTTGACTTAAAATGACGCCAGCTTAGCGTCGAAACGTTGTCTTTGTCAAAGATGTTGACAACTTTTCATCACTATAAGTTATATTCAAAATCTTGCCTTTTTACCAGTAAAACTACTTTAATTTCCTGTCGTTTATACATCTAAGTAAGCTCATAGCCTCCTCAGTGGCAACACATACCAGTGTAATACTTCTCCAACATGGTCATACAACAACAGGTGTTTAATAACATCTCAGTGGCGAGGCCAATTTGCTGCACAGTTGACGGACTTGCAGTCAGCAGGCGACACCACAGAATCTGCATCGCACCAGCTTTGAAGAAATGCTCCCGGGATTCTTCTGAACTTGTGATCAAGTCAATACAGTTGTACAGCGTTATTACGCTCAATCCTGTCAGGTTGGAAAACGCCTCATCTAAATCATCATGAACTATCGCCTCTCCCGAGACCGATTCCGACTGCAGGGTCTTTGCGTTAGATTTCTTCTTTACAGTGCATTTAAGTTGAGTGGTTTGTAATGGAGAAGATGGTTCCGAGGAATCACCATGAACCGGCGTTCTTAAGCCACTTGCCGTTAGTTTTACTGTGAAGGAAGCAAATCCCCATAAAATGCATTAATCATTGCTTTTTCATATGTCGGGATGGGCCGCGCATTGAATGCAAGAACAGGTCAATCCTTTTAAACAAGCATTATAAAACTAATTCCACTAATACTGGAAAGACATAACTTAATAACTGTCACTGTAGATAACTCTGAAAATCTGAACCCACAAGTTAAAGAACTAAAACTTTAGTATTTACAAAAAATGTATGGGTCATAAGTACTCTTGCCACCTGGCAATTTTGTAGTTTTTGATATGAGATATTTCCTGAGAGATGTCTTACCTATGTGAGCTTAATATCACAAGCCATTTCTGCCAGTTGATTAACAATAACCTGCTGCAATACTACAGTCTTTCCGGACAAGAGAAAAGTAAATTTGATCCATAAAATGCACTTTTTGAAAGCAGGTTTCACAATATATTTGAGAGATCAATCCATGGTAATTCGAGTGTTAATCCGAACACTTCCGAAGAGGTGCGAAGTTGACAAATCACGAATATTTCCGAACACTTCAGACTCAAACGTTTCCGATGATGATCTGAAGTTTGCGAAAGCTTCCCGAAATATTTTTGTACATTTAAGATTTAACAACGCAACAAGAATTCACTAACCCGCCTCAGCCATTGTGGAAACGTTGTCTGAAGACGCAGCCATCACCTCAGTGAGATGAAGTCCCTGATCGGCGTCTGATTCCAATTCAACTGTTTGTTGCATGTGACCAGTTGTATTGGCATTCATATGTTGAGTTAGTTTCTCTAGCTGGATTGCATTCATTAGAGAAAGAAGGGCTAAAATTGCATCAAGTACTTTGTGTTCTGCAAACTTCTCCTGGAATTAAAACATGCACAAGAGAGAATGTTTGATGCAAACGCTAGTTCGGCCGGGTCTAAAGTACAGGTCACATTTCACAGGTCAAGAGTACAGGTCACTGCTCCATCGATAAATTACCATATTTGAAATTCACACTAGGGACATACGTCCCCCCCCCCACCCCCAAAGAGGGCCTCGATACAAATCCAGGGTTGTGCTCTGGCACTGCCCAGTGGCCAGTGGTACCTTACATTTGCTCTTAAGCGACAAGGAAATCTTAGTTTTGTAATAAAAACCATGTGCTGGGCACCTTGGATAGAACTACACTCCTTTCAATTTTTCTTAAAGTACAGTGTTAAGGGATTGTGGAATCTTTTTTCTTTTGGAATCCAAAATCCAGCAAATTTTTGCTGTGGAATCCTGAATCCTGGGCTTTGGAATCTGGAATACAGCAGGACGAATCCGGAATGGAATCTGGAATCCGGAATCCAATACCTGGAATCCAGAATCCGCAGTGTGGAATCCAGAATCCAAGACTGTCTTGGATTGCCTTACATGGTGCAAACAGAGCCCTTGAAATCATACTTACATGACTGTCCTTTGCAATGCTTATAGCAGTAATTATCTTCATGGCACCAATACAGTGTGCTATCACTAGTGGATTCGCTCTCAGGTGGTCAGCAGTCTTACTTGACATGTTGTCGATCAACTCCACTATGTAATTCATAAAACCGTCAAAGCTGACCATTACTAAAAACAAAGCATTCAAACAAATTCAACAGGTTACTTTGGACACTTGATGGCTGGTTTTGAGAGAAACAGTTAATTATTTTTTCCCTCGAATGTGAATCTTTCTCAAAGCACCAGGCACCAGACTTCCTTGAAGGCAGATCATCCTAGTGCCATTTGTTTTCTATATTCAGTTTACATGCAAAGGGTTGTACTTTCCCTAGCACTAAGATCATCCTCGTGCTAGGATCTAGACATATCAGGACTGGATCCTGGCATGAGGAAGATCTTCACACCATGTAAACTGCTTTTGCGAGGAAGATCCCAGTACAAGGGACAAACTAGGCAAAAATAGCTTCAGGTCATTTGTATAGGTAATAGCATGATTTGTAGTGATATTTGGTATAAATACCAGGAGTGATATTTCAAAATTGTTATACGTAATTTCACGAGCCGTTAGGCGAGTGAAATTTGAGACAATTTTGAAATATCACGAGTGGTATTTATGCCAAATATCACATACAAATCGTGCCATTACCTATACAAATGACCTGAAGCTATTTTTGTCTAGTTTGTTTGAAATTTGAGACAATTTTGAAATATCACGAGTGGTATTTATGCCAAATATCACGTACAAATCGTGCTATTATTTGTTTATACCACTACCCGCAAAAGGTTTGTAATTTTCACATGAAGGTATTTCAGATTAAGCTGAAACACCACTGCTCCAAGCCAATCTTATTGCAGAAATTTCTCATGTAGTGGTATAAGGTACGTAATCACAGCAATATAGGCAAACAATTTCGTTTGGCACTACCAGTTGTAAAGAACTTCCTGCTGCTACTGAAAAGTTATTATTTCATGTTTGTAATTGTCACCCGCGATCTTTAACAACTTCTCTACTTGGTAACTACACTAACTGAAATTTCTGCATGTAAACCCCACTAAAAGTCATTCCGCCTTATAGGATCTTAGTGGTTCTTGGATCTTCTTCCCTTCATGTAAACTGCCCCTATTAAAAGTGTGATACAGTATCTCTCTTGTAAGACACAACAGTAAAGTAATAATACTGGCAGCTGTTACTAAAACAGTCACCTAGAGTTGAATGTTAACTCATTTTGCACATACTGTACTTGGCAACCTGATTGGCTCTGGCAATGGATTAGTACTGAAGAAGTCAGCCTCTCAATCTCTCTGCACAAATCTACCACTACAGTTTTTTTTAGAAACTAATGGTAACCCTGTTAACCCTTTAAGCCCCAAAATCCACACACAAATTCTCCAAACTGATCTCCATACATTTTCTTTAAGAATCAGTTGAGAGAATTTGATGAAAGATCAAAGCATTTTCCCGAGGTGATCATTTTATTAAATCTCATAACCTTTTCTTTTGATAATGTATTTATATTGGGAGGAGAAAATTGATGTTGATCACTCTAAGCACCCACCCTCCTTGTGGTGGTCATGTCTTGCTAGCACAGTGAGCAATTCCAGTTCAGAGACCTTACTAATAGTAAGTGATGCAGGTGTACTCATCAACAGGTCGATCAGCGGCAACAAAATATAACCTTGTACTTGTTCATTTGCATAATAACCTGCAGGAGTAACAAAAGATAAAGAATTCAATTTATCACTTTTGATATTATTTTATTTATCAATTAAAATACTTCATTGTTAAGCTTAGTAACTGAAAAGAAGTTGCATTACAGCCAACAAAATTATAGAAAACAAGGCTCAAAAAATGCCCTCTCCAGTCATCTGGGACAGGTAGATTTTCTTGCTGGGCAACTAACTTTTGAAGCTCACTGATGGGCAAGTATCCCATTGACTGCATTGAAATAACATGTACATAAAACCTCCTGCACATGTTCTGCAGATGAGTGCTGGCTGCCCCAACTGAGTTAACCTAATATAACATAATATTTCAATAGCTGACAACGAGTTTTAAATTTCCAACCTAGATTAAGTTCAGTGTCTAACTCCACTACGTCGAATCCCTGCAGAAAACCAACTGCCACTCCTTCATCTCTCTTCTTGTAACCAGCAAAGCCCCACAATTCACCAGTTTTGAAATCACAGTCTTGAAGTCCAACATCTTTGAGACTTAACTTGGCCTTATCTGCCGTGGATGAAAGAGAAAGAGAAAGGTACTGTGAAAAGTAATAGGAGTGGGTTGGGTTGGGTCAGTAGGGAGCATGAGAAATGAGTGAAAGTGGAAGAAACGCTGAGTGGAAAGCAAAGTAAAGGGAGAAGGGGTGGGTGGGGTGTATGGGTGAAAAGGGATCGGCAATACATGCAGGTGTGTGTGGAAGAAAAATTAATAGTGAGTGGAGAGTATGACAGGGTTCATACTCTTTTTGACTTTTCAAATTCCATGACTTTCCATGACCTTCTCAAGTTTTCCATGACCTTAGGTTTAGCTTTCACTTTTATCTTCAAAACTTTACTTGTTCTAGGGTAGTTTTTTACCTAACTAAGTTCAAAAGACACAAACTCTGGTGTCCACCAAAATGCGTGCCATTTTATTACTTGTCTTAATCTTACATTGTCCTCGCTTTGACATCTGCAGTAACTAATCTATCAAACATAGCCTTAATTTTCCATGACTTTCCAGGACCGATAATCCAGCCCTGGAAACTAAAATTCTTAAATTTCACGACTTTCCAGATTTTCCATGACCTGTACAAACCCTAGCATGAGTGGGGAGGGTGGGAAGAAGGTTGGAATAGGGAGGAAGCTGGTTGGATAAGGTAGTGTGGGGAGAAGTGGGGGGTAGGGGTGAGTAGGGATTAGGGGTAGATGGATAGGGTATTGTGAGTACTGTAGTAATGAGTAGGAAGCAAGCAGGGGTGGAGAGTAGTGTGAGGTAGTTAGCAGTGGTGAGTGGGGACTAGGGGTAATTAGGGATTAGGGGGAGATGGATAGGTTAGCGTAGGAAGTGTATGGTAGGAAGGGAGGGTTGTGTGGAGTGGTCAGCAAGGATGAAGCACTGGTCATGCAGTCTTGAGAAGTTCAAAGAAATTCTATTTATAAAAGAAATGAATAAATATTACCCTTACACAGGGTGCAAAGAAAATCATTTTTACAGCTTGCCATTCGGGCAAGTTGAAGCTAGCATTTACTAGCCCAGACGTCATTTCAACTAGCCCCAAAAACTTTTTGACTAGCAGAATTGATTTTACAGTTCTTCTCTTATTCGAATTACTCAAAAAACATCACTTGCCCATCAGGCAAGTTAAAAACAGAATTCACTAGCCCGATAGCAAAATCCACTAGCACCGGGCTATCGGACACTACTTTCTTTGCACGCTGCCCTTACAGTTCTCACTTTCATGATTTGGCTTTTTTTAATAGGTATGAATAATTTTGTAACTGTGTGACAACAGAAAAATGCATTATGACCTGTCAAGTAGTAGTTTGCCTCTCCTCTGACAGCTATAAAAACCAGAGCCCCAACAGGGACCATGTCAATAAACTCAACAAGTTGTTCACTGGCTTCTTTGTCATGACCAGTGTCAAATGAAGAAACCTCAGTTGCTTGGTATGTCATTAGATCCATTACTACCACATTGACGCCTGGTTTGTTGGGACAGAATTCCTTTCCATCGATACAAATCCTTGCCTCATCACCAGTCTTGTAACCAAATGACCTGATGACCACTGGGACCTTTGTGTCTAGAACACATAATTTATATGGTTTTTTTTATTGCTGCACAATAATATTATTGTTAACAGTGCAAACAATTATATCACTTTAAAAACCTATTAAGCAACCTGCCCCTCTTACATAAGATAAATAATCACCTTCAATGGTTTCATGAATAATGGGAACAGTTGGCACACATACACTGTATAGTCCCTTAATAAGCTACCTGAGGAAAACAATTTGTGGCCTAGAAGGAAAAGGAGGCAATTCCTACGGCCAAAGTGATAATGATGATTTTCATTTACAAATCAATAAATCAATAATCAATTGATGATTGTCAATACTTAATTTATTTTTGGGAGGATCACATTTCAAGTGCAATTTACTTGTACTTTAAATTAAACAATTCTGTACTTTTGGTTTTTATAACACTTAACACAGCACATTATACATGTATCAAAGCCTTTTTGAAACTACAATGTTTACACGCTAGTCACTAACCAAGAAAACCAAGCATGACAAGTGTTTTAGCAGCATGTGTGGCACATTGTGGATGATCACTGTCGCCAATCGCTAACTCCATAAGACCGAAGTCCGGTGGGTCGGCCTAATAGAGAGAAAAGTGGAGTAGTCTACAGTACCGGTACAAATTGTCTTCTCGTCTCCGGGTTTTAACTTCAAGTCTCAGCGAACTATGTCTTATACAGTCATAACGCTTCAAACATCCATCTTCAAGAACTTGGCTTTGTAAACTTTCTGAGGTACCATAATGAAAAGGACACATTATTTATCTTCTTAAAGACAATTTTTTCATACAAAAATTTCAAAGATTATAATTTTGATAAAGCACTAGGAAATGATACTGGCCCTTACACTTGGGGAGCAAATACAGTGTACAGGGAAGCAAGACAATGCATTAGCAATTCGTAATGTTGCCTGGGTTCGAATCCCAGAAGCAATGCCATACTTGGATAGAGTTTGTAGTCAGGTGTAACTCTTGCTTCAAGAGGCCTGTCTCCATTTTCCCCTCTTCCCCCCAAAAAACCAACATTTCCAATGGAGATAAAGCAACCACTCCGTGGATATGCTTTCAATAACTCAATACAAATCATTTTATGTATTTAGTTGTAAATGCAGGTAAAAGTACCATATCTCCTCGACTAATATGCCTTCCTCGAATAATTGCTCCCCCCCTACTTAGACAAAAATATTGAAAATAATCGCCTCCCTTAAATAATTGCCCCCCTACCCCTCTCGCTACCTTCCCCTTCTTTCATCCCATCCCTGCCAAGATGAAGTAGAGTCTGATCCAGCAAAACCGATCAGTAACAATTCAAGCACTGACACCATGGATATTGAAAGTAAAAATGAATCAAGGAACCAAATTTGGAACACATGAAAAGCCCATGTTTTCGTTTCATTTGATGTGATCATTTTTTTATTTTATTTTATGGGTGGGATAGTAAAACAATTTAAAAAGGTGTAGGGCACGACTTCCAGTGAGCAATATCTGAATTAATCATCTCCCTCGAATAATCAGCTCCCCTTAAATAATCGCCCACAGCTATTATTTGAGGAAATATGGTTACTGTATTGACTTACCAACAGTACAAAACAGACCCAGTAGTTCTGCTACCAAACGAATCAAGATGTTATCTTTTCTAGATGCCAGTGGTACAAGGGCCTTTATAATATCACTAGCTACAGAAAGCACTCTAAGAGCTGCTGCACGGTTTGCATTTGGAGATCCTAAGATGAAAATAATCATTATAGAGTTACCAGAGAGATGGTAGATAGGTGAGGTTTTATTACAATACTTAGTATGACAGAAAAAAAATCTAAGTGTGGGAATAGAGAAAACTTTCCTATTCATTCTACATATATCTGTGATCAATCCTAATTAACGTCACTATAGGATACAATGAGAAGCATGCAATAAGCATTATTCTCACTTCATGGTAATAAAACAAAGTCTTACATGTAGAACCTTATTTCACAGACAAGTTCATAGTCAGTTATACAGTATTGCACAGTTCTAGTAGACTGCAAACACAGCCATATTTTCGGTCTTCTCTTGTCTTCACCTGGGTGGAGAGGAGCGACAACTGGAAACGTATCTGCATTCGCAGGCTACAGTTCTAGATATATCTTAAAATTCTAGTAGAGCATTAAACAAACCTTCAGAAAGCAGAAGATCATGAAGTAAAACCACTGCCCAGTGCACAATATCACTGTCACCAGAAGCAAGACAAATCGGCAGTCGGGCCACAAGTGAAGAACAATGAAGAACGCTACTACGGAATGACTGATTTCCAACACAGAGGAAACTGACAACACGAAGGATCAACCTCTGTAGGATAGCTTCACTTGAACACAGCACATTTTGAAGTGATTTGATGATGTTCGGGATGGCACATATTTCTGTCTTGTGGAGATCCTGAATGGCAAACTGATGCAGTAATCCAGCTGCCCAGTAAACAAGGTCACTATCATCTGCATAGACAAACACAGCCTCATTGTGAAATGATGAATATATGAATTTCATATATTTGAAGCGTGTGATGAAAAAATAAATTAAGGCAGAGAAGATCATTACAGTCAAATAATACAACTTATGCAGTTGTGGAAAGAGAGCCTAAAAAATTCAGGCTCGCAGGGATTCAAACCCTGACCTCTGCTATACCGGTGCGATGGTCTAACCAACTGAGCTAGCAAGCGAACTGGGAGCTGGCATTGAATTGGTTTATGACATCAATTTTAATAATTTATGGTTTTATTTGCTTCTAAATACTTGGCAGTGGGTGTTAAAGGGTAGTGGGGGGGGGGGGATCTTGGGTGGGTTTTAAGGAACTGTACCTACAGTGTATGTGCCACCCAGATTTCAAATGTATTCAAACTGATGTCCCATTCTAAAATTAGGCCAGTCACAAGTACATGTACTGTGCATGTTTCCTATATCAACCATCTCCTAATTCAATTCAAGGAAGGTCGACCGCAAACACCCAGCTAATGTGGACACACATATATAACAGAAAATTTCCACTTTTTAGTACATTTCCTTGCCATTCTCTGCATGACGGTCATGTGGAATTCTCCATTTTCAAACTTCATGGTGGGTGTACATGTAAAGACATGACAACAAATTTTTCTTTATCTTTCTAAACATGTAAGCATGGGTGTGTTCACTAAGAATTTAAATCCAGAAGATTCACCTTCGATTGACATACCTTAGCTAGTATGACTAATCATGGTGAAATTTGAAACAGTACACTACAAGTGTATATAGAGTTAGGGTTACAGTAGCCTGATTCTTAAATGTTCGTGGCCATGCACTCTCTCTCTCTCTCTCTCGATCGTGCATGACATATGTGGAGCATCTGAGAATCGGGCTAGAGTTACAGAGTGTCAGAGGCCAACTATGGCGCTGACCAATTCACTTGCATGGGAAACTGTTGTGAATGAAAACTATAATGTAGAGGCACACTCAGTTTCACCCGCAAAATGTGCACAGGGCCCCCACCTCAGGCACTTCGTCCGTACTTACCAGATCTAAGAGAGACAACAGCCGGTCTGAATATGTCATATTTGGCCATTTCCTTGAGATGTTCAACTTCCTCCTCCGTGTTATTATTTACAAACATCACCATTGTGTGCAAGCAAGTTCTCATCAACACAAAATCTCCTTGATTTTTCACCAGAGTTTGCGAGACAACCGGTATCACCCCATGTTCTAGGATAACCGGCCGCAGAGTTTCACAAGCGGCTAGTTGATGCACTGTGAATAAACTCCATCTCATTACCTCCTTATTCCTTGTCTCAGAAACTAGTTCTAGAAGAGTTCCGATAATAGATGAGTTCGATTTCACTAAACGAATTTTAGTGGCATCTTCATCATAAACAAGGTGAAATAACGATTCCGACGCACACCGCTGCAAACGAAAATCGTAGCCTCCGATTTCAACGAGTTTCTTAAATCCCACCTCAACGGAATGAACGAGAGCATGGGAAAGCGATTCCAATGTACCATGTTCAATTAACTTGTCTCTTGCAACGCGTTCGGAATTTTTCACTAAGACTGCCAAAGCAACAACCGCTTTCAAAACCTGGATTTCGTCGGTGCTGTAACAAGCAGTGATGATAAAATCAAGATTGTGATCCTTCATCGCCCTGTCCAACACCACTTGCTCGGCGCTTTTCCGCAGTGAATAGTTCGGTGATCGAGCAAGAACTTCCAGATCTTCTAAGCGAATGCTGTCCTCCATTTTGGAAAGGGGTTTTCGTGTACATTTCTCCCTGATAAATTTTCGTAGTTCCGTGATACAGAAAGCTGTACCCAGTCCAGACAGCACACCAGCAGCAATCCAAATGACTCTTTTGTTGTCGAAGGCCATCACAAGTTTGGTAAAGGAAGGAAGGCGTCCTCAACGAAGGGATTTGTCGGCAAAGTTAAAACTACTTTGACAATTACCGCCATATTTCGAAAACATCCGGAGCGGAGCCTCGCTATCAACCACGCGTAGATGGCCTCGAAGATGTGGATTTCATATATCAGTCATTGTGGAATACTTTACACAAAACTTGTGAGATATTGCCAATCATTTCCAACGGAAAGAAAACTAGCCGTTTGATCTCCAAATTTTTTTTCAATTCGAGGAGAAAATTGCCTTAAAATGAAAATTACTTGAGATTTCCCCTTTGAAACACAATTCAATTCAACTACACTGCCATCTCTTTGCTTTTTGCATTGACCGCTGACTGCCAGTTCTGAGCCTTGTTTACATCGTCTAGAAATCGTCGGAGTCGAGTTTAGCATCAAAATGGTAAGTTTTGACAAAATTTGTTCAATTAATTCACCACTTTCGTTACCAAACTATGCTTTAAACGTTCTTAAATAACGCTGTGTCCTTGTTTTTTTTAGGGTGAAAGAAAGGCCGTCAATAAATATTACCCACCGGACTGGACTCCGGAGCAGGTCGGTTGAAATTCATTTCGCGTCGTGATCAACTTGATGCGTTAATGCGTGATAGTTTTTTAACTCAAATATAACTTCTAGGGCCTTTATCCTGCTAATGTACATACCTTATTCGACAACGACCTGTTTAAACAAAAGATTCGTTTGTCTCGTTTATGCCTTCATCACCTTCTCAAGTGGTTCAACTTTTTTGGGTTTGTTCAGACTCAAATAATCATATGTGACCATGTCCATAAATAACCGGAAATAAAAATTGAACGAATTACAAAACTGAACTATGACATACGTGTATCAACAAGACCATTGTTATCTCCATCATCATCATCATCATCATCATCAATAAGATCATTATGATTATTATACATTGTAGTCACCATCTGTCTTCTCATTGGCTAAAAGCCTACAGTTAATTCTGGGAAACAGCGCAATGCATGATTTCCAAGAGCAATGTCAAGTGCACGGACAGCAATGTCAAGTTCGCGGAATTATCAAACCATGCTTTAAACGTTCTTAAATAACGCTGTGTTCTTGTTTTTTTTTTTTAGGGTGAAAGAAAGGCCGTTAATAAATACTACCCACCGGACTGGACTCCGGAGCAGGTCGGTTGAAATTCATTTCGCGTCGTGATCAACTCGATGCGTTAATGCGTGATAGATTTTTAACTCAAATATAACTTCTAGGGCCTTTATCCTGCTAATGTACATACCTTATTCGGCAACGACCTGTTTAAACAAAAGATTCGTTTGTCTCGTTTATGCCTTCATCACCTTCTCAAGTGGTTCAATTCTTTTTGGTTTTGCTCAAACTCAAATAATCATATGTGACCATGTCCATAAATAACCGGAAATAAAAATTGAACGAATTACAAAACTGAACTATGACATACGTGTGTCAACAAGACCATTGTTATCTCCATCATCATCATCATCATCATCATCATCATCATCATCAATAAGATCATTATGATAATCGCCATCATCATTTATAGGATCAGTCATCATCATTATCATCCTCAGCCATCATGATCTTCATTAATAAGGTCCAGTATATCAAAGCTAAATAACTGCAATATTAACTATTTGACAAATTTTCTTTGCACAGGGTTCACTTGACAGATACCATGGACAGCATCCACTTCGTGAGAGGGCAAGAAAGCTTGGTCAAGGGATCCTTATCATTAGGTATATATGCTGTTTTACTTTTTATAGATAATTCCAAAGAAATAGTTTTCAACATTGTCAACAGTGTGAGATTTTGAAGGTGTGTGCACAGGAAATAATGAACATTATAGGAAGTTCTGGGGTCATGCTTCCATACAAAATTTTACAGTTTAGGGTCTTGGTCCTGCAAAGTTCTGCAGGACATTTTCAGTAAATAAATGCAAAGTAAAATGCAGTAGTTATGTACAGTGTTACAGAAAAAAGGGTGAGACAGTGACGCCATCAAGGAGATTACACGTAAGCAAAGGGGGATAACTCGACACCTACTGTTCAAACGGGCAAACTCTGTTGCAATGCCATCAATATCATTGTCTGTTTATGGAATAATAAGAAGATAAAGGAAAATAAAACTAACACTTACAGTGCCAAAAAAATCATCAGTCATCCAAATTCAATGATAAAAAAATAATACTTGCAGGAAAAATGAGAATGTTTTTCCAGATCAGCTGTATGCATAGGCATATGTACGTATATGGATGCTACGCTCCTGGAGAGGCAAGATTTCCCAGTAAATAAAGAAAATACATGTAGCAAATGAAATTTTTTACCACTAGTTCCTACATTAAAAAGTCATAAAACATTACACATTTCCGAAATCAACTCTTGATGAATTATATCATGAAATATTTCAGTGATTCTTTCATCCACCATGGTTAAATGGATTTTGTCCAGTGGCAGGTTCTAGTTATCAAATCCAAAACGGTTTTACTATATTTTTATTAAAGTGTCTTCCACTCTCTTTTAGATTTGAAATGCCATACAATATTTGGTGTGGGGGATGTGGAAACCATATAGGAATGGGTGAGTGTACATTGCAAGACAACATTTCTGATATATACTGTGTGGCACTTAATTTTTGCAGAAAAAAAACCTCCTCAAAATTTAAAATAATGTGTGTAGGCAGTGCATCCATGATACCTAGGCGGCAATTTTTGGTCCCCATCCCCCCTTCCCCCCTCCCCACCCCTTGCTTGGAGCTTTCACAGAACCCTGTGTCCTTACTTTGCTTGCTACTCCATCAGAATTCTCTATTAATTGTGGTATTTCATACCCTAGGTGTACGCTACAATGCTGAGAAGAAGAAAGTTGGTAATTACTACACAACACCCATTTATAGATTTCGGATGAAATGTCATCTGTGTGATAATCACTTTGAAATCGAAACAGATCCCAAGGTAAGTCCGTTAAGCCCCAATATCCACATTCAAATTCTCCCGACTGATCTCCATATATTTCCTATAATGATAATAATAATAATAATAATAATAATAATAATGATAATAATTCTTTTGATGATGTATTGATATTGTTAGGGGTAGATTGATGTTGGTGTACATGTGTCTGTTGTGATTTAATATTATTGTATATGACCCAAGTCAAAAGTGAGAAATGAATAATCCCTTTTTATAAATGCTTTTTTGCTCTTAGAACTGTGATTATGTAATTGTGAGCGGTGCCAGGAGAAAAGAAGAAAGATGGGAACCATCTGCAACAGAAACTGTAGAGTTGACAGGTACTGTGGATTTTAGGCATCTCCACTTACACCTTAGCCTTCAGAGGAACAAAAAAGATCTTACAATGAATATAGAGTTGTTTTGTCCAAACACACAGGAGGGGTACTGCTCAGGGTAGTATGCAAAACAGAATAAGGATGAAAAGAAAGGCATTAAAGTAAAATCAGACACGTGAGAATGTGAGAGGTATACAAGGGATGAAAAAAATGGAACCTCTCCCCTCCCTGCCTCCTTCACCTTTTCAGGGTTTTTGACAGATTTTAAAAGAGGGGACATATATCTGAAAGCACTGGACGCCGAAGATGCGAGCTACTTAGGGGGCTCTGGGGACATGTGCCCCCCAGGAAATCTTTAGAAAAAGAACACTCGGAAATGCTGTTTCCAGAGTTTCTGGAACCCAAGAATCAGTTTCCCAGGGAAGGCGGGAGTTCACTCAAATTGTCTTTAAAAAGTAAAATTTTAAATGAAATTGGATAGTTGGTAGGGGAACAAGGAGGCGGAAATGGCAGTGAGCTGCTTAAGTAAAAAAAAAAAAATGATCATTAAAAAACCCTCAAATATTGGCATCAAAGTCAAGACAGAATTGCAAACAACTGGACAAAACGTCCAGTCTCTGGCCTCAAATGAAAACCCTGCCTGTTATGGGGTGAAATGGGCTTTGTTTCACTCCCTTTTAAGTGACTACAATTTAGCAAGTTGTTAGCAGGCAACAGCAACAAGTCAGTCTGACAAAAATTAGCTCGATCCTGCAACAAAATGAATTTCACCCTAAAAAAGGAAGCCCTTCAATTAGCAAACCCATTTGTTTTTTTTATTATTATTCAGACAGGGAGGATGCCAAAAAGATGGCAACAGATCCAATGTTTAAACTGGAGCATGGAGTTAAAGATCAAGAGAAGTCCAAATCAGTTCAGCCTACTCTTGGCCAACTGCAGGTAAATGTCCACAAGATACATCAACATCTAAGGACCGGTTCAGATGCCGCTCAACTCTTGTGCCCTACCTAACTGATGAATTAAGTATGGCAAAAGAGTGGTGTCTGAACAGGGTGCAAAGAAAGTCAATTTTACAGCTCTCCTTTCGGGCAAGCTGTAGCTTGTATGTACTTAGTAGCCCAAAAGTCATTTTAACTAGCCCAAAATGAGGAGCATTGATTACAGTTCTTCTGAAATTTGAATTCCCCCAAAAAAGGATTACATGCATGTTGGGCAAGTCAAGAACAGAATTCCCTTGCCCGATAGCAAAAACCACTAGCCCCAGGCTATCGGACATCACTTTCTTTGCACGTTGCTGAATCAATTTGGTACGGCAGTTTTAGTTTGGTACAGCAAAAGTGTTAAGTTCAACAGAGTCTGTCGAACTTTTGTCAAACTTAACTTAGGCTCAACACCCAGTGCGCCATCTGAATCAGATGTCACGCTAGTGTTGCTACAAAGTTGAAATTATTCAGTTAGGTTCGCCACTTAAAAGTAAGGCGTCTGAAACAGGCCTGCCTAACTCTGTCTTTTGAGAGCATCAACACTATGGCAAGTGGACAATTTTATACTTTTAAAAAGCCTGAGAAAACAGCCGATAATTTTGACGCTGCCTCTGGTTTCCACACAAAACGACGCCTGAGGAATTAAACAAGCTCCGAAATTCCATACTGATGACACGTCACTACCCAGATCTGGATATGCTTCTGATTGGTTGGAAAAGACCTGGGTGGTAATGTGTCATACGTATGGAGATGTCTGCTGGCGTCGAGAAATGTCAACTGTTTCCTCGGGCTAACTTTTTAAGTAGTGAAATGAGAAAAGTGTCTTTAAAAAAATACTAAACAGGTTCTTTTTAACTAGTCGCACGAAAACTCATTGTTTAATAGTGAAAAATCACCATATGGTCAGTGAAGGGATTATAGAAGGCGTCCGTACTGATCGTGGTGTCCGTATTAAGCGGGTATCCATAAAGGAGTGGGGAGGGGCTTCGACTCTATCTACAGTGGCAGATCCAGACCTTCAGATAAGGGGCGGGGGCGCAGTCATCCAGAACCTGAGATAAGGGGGGACGCGGTCTTAAAAAAATAATATTTTTTCGGCCCTTCAGGCCTCAGTTTGGTCTAAAAATAAGGTGGGCCCCCCTGGCCCCTCCTCTGGATCTGCCACTGATCTCAGAAGAGCAAGAAAAATAATTAAGTTGGAAAACATTTTAGGAAGTTCAGTCAGTGTGGAAGGATGATTATGCTGCTAATCAATTGCTAAGGAAGAAATTCCGAGAGACTAAACGTGAAGTGAAAGCTCAAGACATGAAGGACAGTGAGCTGAAGCAAAGAGCAGCATTAGATGTGGCTCTTGTGCCAGAGAGACTGGAGGATATTGAACTGGCAAAGAAAATAAGATATCATGGAGAAGGTAATAAATAATAATAATAATAATAATAATAATAATAATAATAATAACATATTTAACCAGGGTAAACCCGTCAGCTGAAGCTGTTATTAATGGGTGCCCTGGGCAACTAAAAAATTAACAATTAAAGGAAAAAATAACTGTAACAGAACAACTATCAGAAAAATGTAAAGACTAAGTACAATGACGATGGATGAAAACTAAGAATTTTATAGCTACGTAAATTAACACTCTAAAAAGCTCTAAAATATTTACAAGAACTCTAAAAAATAATATCATTAAGAAGTGTTTGAAAAATCACTATGGAGTCAACTTCCTTCAGACGGGGTGGCAAGTTATTAAAAGTCTGGGCTCCAGTATAAAATATTCCTTTCTTGGCAGATTCTGTACGGACTTAGGAATTAAAATATCTAAACTATTACACCTAGTGGAATAAACATGTGAAGACCTAATAAAAAACTCTTAAAAAGATTTGGAGCAATGTTATGGAGAATTAACTTTACAAGCATCAACTTCCCGCTGTTGCTGTTTTAAGACCCAGTGGCTGAATCCGCGAGTGGGCAAGATGACTCGAATTCTGCGTTCTGATTGGCTCCCCGAGCGGGCGAGATGGGCCCATCTTGCTCACTCGGGATTTCCCGCGTTGGTCCCGCGCGAAAACGTTCTCCTTTTGGCTGGCCATACAAACCGTATATTGACCAAGCTTGTTCGTTCATGGTCAATATAAACGCAAACGGCATTATAAAAAAAAACTTGGCCAGTATCCAGCCATCTCGACCGAATAAGCTTGGTCAATAACGGTAACTGGTCATTTCGCCCCCAAGTCATTTCGCCCTGGTTACTTAGCCCCCTATTTTCAAGTTTTTCGGAGTGGCTAAGTGACTCGTGTATGCGGGTATGACTTTGTTTTTGGGAGCTAAATGACTCGAAAATAGGGGGCTAAGTGACCGGGGCGAAATGACCAGTAACCCCTGATCAGAAACCTCTCGCTGCGTAGACCGGTGCTCTCCTCACTGAGCTAACCGCGTGATGTAACCAGTTTTTGTGTTTTGGCTTCCTGGGAGCTGACATGATAATTTTTAACGAAGCGTGCGCTGAGCGCCCCACAAATTGTTAACATTCGCCTCTTTGGCTGCTCAGCTAGTAGAACAGGGTCAATAAAAGAACTGTGAACTTCCAGGATAAAAATGTTCATGGTTTTAAGCACATTGATAACAATACTTTGGTTCTGGTTTTGCAGGATTTGATGAGCACCGTCGTAAAAGACGGTTTGAAGTCAACAGCCGACCAATGTTTGGAAAATCAGACGAGAAAAGGGAGAAAATAAAGCATCTGTTAGGAAAAAGGAAACAAATGGCGTTCAACTCGTTTTCTAATCCCTCTAAAGTCAACAGTGATCTGGTAAAACTGGGTATCAAGGTGCGAAGAAACGTGTTCACAAACAGTGAGGACTCAGAAGA